ATACGTACAGTCTCCTTTAATCCTCACAACTGCCTCTCCTCAATATCACAAGTGAGAAAACAAGGCTCAGAGAAGCTATGTATGTTTTGCAATATCACATAGCAGTAGTGACAGTCTTAAGAGTCTGTACCATGCTCTTAATCTCCAGCCAACGGGAGAACACCTTGAAGAATCAGTCCTAGCAACATTTCAGTTCAACCTGCACTTACTCTGCAGCATAACCCTGAACACTAATGATTTCAGACCAGAGTTGCAGCTGCTGCCCTCAAAAAAACTTGTAGCTCAGCAGGACTTCAGGACCAAACTGTCCTCTCACTGGCAGAGTCCCCATCATTGACTGAAATATTTTAAGCTCTACTTTAAATCAAAATATCAGGGCAGCCCTGGTGGCTTAGCGGTTTGGCGCCGCCTTCAGCCCAGGGCGTGATCCTGGAGACCCTGGATCGAGTCCCATGTGGGGCTCCCTGCATGGAGCCTGCTTCTCCCTCTGCCTATGTCTCTGCCTCTCTCTGTGTCTCTCATGAATAAATAAATAAAATATTTTTTTTAAAAATAAATAAGTAAATCAAAATACCAGGATATCCTTGGACACCACTCTCTTCGACACCACTCTTCCCCCTTCAGGCTCCCTCATTCCCTTTACACTCAGACTCCTCTCTCTGCGCTTTTGTATTATAGAGTAGAAGGGTCCCGTTAATCCTGACAATCATTAGGATAGCTAAATTTAATTTAGTGATAGCTCAGACGTAAGTGTATATTTGATAAATTCTATGCCCATAATGAAATATGAGCCTCACGGATCAGCTAGAAAAAAAGCAGTAGCAAAAAGCAGAGAAAAGAGGAATATGAAAGCCACACTGTAAAGGAAAGAAAATGTAATAAAAGTGGGAAAATGGACACAAACAAAAGGTAGAAAGTAGGAATCCAGGATAAATTCAGTGAAGACACACAGAAAAATAACACTAAAATCTAATCTATTTTAGGAATTCTGACTTCTTTATTCCTTTTCCTAACCTCTAAAGGAAATAGAAAAATATGAAATGACTGAAAAATTTACTAGAAACAGTATATAAATTAGGAGTTTTTTTCCTGAGAAACCATTCATTTTAAAATTTCAGAGCTGCAAAGAAACCTTAAAATACTACCTAATCCAACCCACTCATTTTACAATTAAAATAAGGCTCAGAAAGGTTGATTTTAAATTGCCCAAGATTGTAAAGCTACTCAATCTCACCCCAACATCTACTCCTACCAGACTAGGGCTTTCTAGAAATGTATTTTACTCCTCCATTTTCCACTCTTAATAACTATTAAATTAGTTTCTGTATAAGCATCTCAGAATTTACATATTATTCCTACTTCCCTTAAAAGAAAATAACCAGATATTCTGGATTACATAAGGCAATATGGAATTTTATTCTTTTATTCCCAAAGTCAGTAATTTCAAATTAAGTCCTGGTTCTTAACTGGGAGAAGATTTAATTTCCCAGAAAAGCAGAAAGAAAAAGATCTCCATAAACTGACCAAAGCAAGCCTAGTTGATAAACTACAATCCATCTGTAAAGGAATCATGCCCCAGACCCCTGGAGGCTGGACAACAGATAACTATAACAGTCTTTATACATAAGACTTTAAAGTCTTCTATATTAAACTTTAGTTTAAGTACAGTGATTACCTAGGCCTTAAACATGTCTTTGCCTACAAAAGGCTGACTGAAGCCTTCTCGGGAAGGGAAGAAAATGCCTAGTTTACTTTAGGAACACAGCTTACTTTTCATATATATGAAGTTCATTACTAGATTAGGGATAATCTGCTTTAACATGTTAACCAGATTAGGATTGTTGTACTGAAAATGAAAAGGACAAAAAGATGGGACACCTGGGTGGCTCAGCAGTTGAGCATCTGCCTTCAACTCAGGGCTAGAGGGATCAGTGCTCCTGGGATCAAGTCCCACAAGGAGCTCCCCTCGAGAGCCCGCTTCTCCCTCTGCCTGTGGCTCTGCCTCTCTCTCTGTGTCTCTCATGAATAAATAAAACCTTTTTTAAAAAAAGAGTAAAAAATTGACCAAGAAGAGTAACGAAGTTATTAACAGCTAAAGAGGAAAACTGGGAAGAGCTTTTCAGCTGGGGGTGAGCGGAGGGGGTGCTGGAGTGCAGCTGCTACAGAGATGGTATTTAAACTTATTTAGTTTGCAGACATAGGTGAAAATTTGGGCCTCAAATTTAGACAGAAAATATGGATTTGGGGCCTAGCAAGCACAGCAATGATTAAGTCTTTAGAGAAAGAAGTTTACAGAAAAACATTTAAAACAACAGCATTCCTCAGATAACACTTTGAAAATAACCTAACCTTCCATATGAATAATACTTATCACATAGATATATTTGGACTGCTTTATTCTAAATGAAAAGCTAAAAAATTAATTTTTTCCTCAGGCTAAGAGAAAAGGGTAAGGATTAAAACAGTTCCATAATTACTATTTGTCCAAAGTCAAGTCTCTGAACTAAAACACATTGTTTCTGAAGACTCCCTATTTATAACAAAACTTTTAGAAAAAAACTGAGAGAAAAATCTGATGCACTAATACTACTACAATTTTACAATAGTGGTGAGAACTTAATAGTTTTATAAGTACATTAACCAAAATGCCCATATTAGTAAATCTGAAGAATAGGTAGTACGGAAGTTCATAATACTATTCTCCCTAGTTCTATGTAGTTGAAAACTTCCAAAATAAAAAATCTTTAAAAAGTCTGGGATCCCTGGGTGGCGCAGCGGTTTGGCGCCTGCCTTTGGCCCAGGGCGCGATCCTGGAGACCCGGGATCGAATCCCACATCGGGCTCCCGGTGCATGGAGCCTGCTTCTCCCTCTGCCTGTGTCTCTGCCTCTCTCTCTCTCACTGTGTGCCTATCATAAATTTAAAAAAAAAAAAAAAAAAAAAAAAAAAATCTTTAAAAAGTCTACCTAGATAATTTTTTAATTACTTTTAATTTTAAAAAAATTTTTTTAAGATTTATTTATTCATGAGAGACACAGAGAGAGAGAGACAGAGGCAGAGGGAGAAGCAGGCTTCATGCAGGGAGCCCGACGTGGGACTCGATCCCGGGTCTCCAGGATCATGCCCTAGGCGGAAAGCTGACGCTAAACTGTTGAGTCACCCAGGCATCCCCTAAAAAATTTTTTTTGAGATACAGAGTGTGAGCAGTAATTGGGGACAGGGGTGGGGTGGGGGGATCCCAAGCAGACACCATCCCCAGCCTAGAACCCAAGATGGGGCTCAATCTCATCACCCTGAGATCATGACCTGAGCCAAAATCAAGAGTCCAATCCTTGATCAAATGAGCCACTAAGGCACCCTAGATATTTTTTATTTTTTTTAAAGATTTATTTATTTATTTATGATAGACAGAGAGAGAGAGGCAGAGACACAGGAGGAGGGAGAAGCAGCTCCATGCCGGGAGCCCGACGTGGGACTCGATCCCGGGACTCCAGAATCGCACCCTGAGCCAAAGGCAGGTGCTAAACCGCTGAGCCACCCAAGGATCCCCTATTTTTTAAATTCTATCTGTGGTTAAAGTTTGACAACTCAGAATTATAACAGATAAAAATTTTTCAAATAATGTTTTATTCATTCTCAATAGACCAATGAGGGGATCCCTGGGTGGTTCAGCGGTTTGGCGCCTGCCTTTGGCCCATGGCACCATCCTGGAGTCCCGGGATCGAGTCCCACGTCGGGCTCCTGGCATGGAGCCTGCTTCTCCCTCTTCCTGTGTCTCTGCCTCTCTCTCTCTCTCTCTATATATATATATATATATATATATCATAAATAAATAAATAAATCTTTAAAAAAATAGACCAATGAAACTTACACCTGATCTTAGCCAAAAGGCCGAGAAACAATAGACCAATGAAATTTAATGTGTATGAAAGGGGGAAAAGATCCTGTGTCACTTTAAAGAAACATAAGTAGTTTATTAAATGGAAAAAATCCTTTTATCCATGTTGTTTGACATTGGACATTTATTATGTTTCTCTTCAACGAACCTGTAATTTTTGTTGAAGAAAATACAGTCCATACAAATATATGTCTTTGGTTAGTAAAGACAAAATAAACATTTATCCCCAGTATCCATGATTAATTTGCTGAATGTAGTCAGCTGTCATGTTATTTCAAACATCTTCCACTCTAGTAAATAATCAAATAAACAACTTTTTAATGTAGATGCAAAAAAGGGGGGAAAAGATTTTTTAAAAGAACCAATATCCATAAATTACATCTAACCCTAACTTGTAAAAAAAAATGCACATATTTAAAATTATATAAATAAGAAGAGGGGAAAAGTTAAAGGTTTTTAACAATGATCATAGTTTAAGCCAGGACTTAAGTGGATGTAATTCAAATCAAATCACTCTACTGAGACTATAACAGTGCAACCAATAGAGAACAAATTGCTTAGATTTACCACTTACTGATAGTCATATATGGTTTACAAGCACCTATCTTTCCTCTCTATGATAAACAGCACCACCCAAAAACGACAACTAGATTTGTTTGCCTCCTCTTCATCTGTAAGTTCCAAAACAATAAAAACTACACATCTGTACAAAACTAGCACACTGTAAGTGTGTAACTTTTCTAACAGGAATAAGCACCTTCAATTCCCAGAAAGCTATTGCTAGCAATTAGTCTCATTCTCTAGGTGATGTGCATAGGATAACAAAATCAAGCAGGGTTTCCTTGGTGGCAGCTCTGCCTTGAATCATTTTCAGAATTTTATGTCTTCTAACAGAAATATGTCATCAGGAAACTTCAGAGCAGCAGCATAAATACATATACTTAGAGACAAAAGAGACTGTTGGTGATTCTCTTTTTCTCTATCATTATGAAAGCACTGCTGAAGTCTGAATTGAGGTATTTCATATTTTGCAGATGACAAGATCATTCTCCTTTTCAACAAATTGTTGTAGCTTTTTCCTTGTTAAAGTAAAAATTACATACCATAAAATGCCCAGATCTTAAGTAGTCAGCTCAATAAGTTTGAACAAGCGCATACACCAACTGGTGAATCTGGATGTTCCTTGTACTAGGTCTTGCAACTTTTCTGTAAGTTAAAAATTATACAAAAATAAAAGGTTACCCAAGAAGTGTACACTTGAATTGCCATTATCCAAGTCAAGCTACAGAATATTTCTATCTCCCCAGAAAATTCCCTTCTGCCCCTTTCCACAACCCTTACCCAGAAACCACTGTCCTGATTTCTACCACCTTACCTAAAGTTTTGCCTGTTTTATATTTTTCATAAACAGCATCATTTGGTACATATTTCTCTCTGGCTTCTCTTGCTCTGAATAATATTTCTGAGATTCATTTATGTTGTGTGAATCAATTGTTCACTCCTGTTGTGAAAAGTTGCTATGAACATTTTGCATCACTTTTTTTTTTTTGCATCAATCTTATTGTGATCATGTACTTTATTCCCCTTAACACAGTAAGCTTTCATTTAATGGAGGGGTTCCCCACATATAAACAACCCTGTTTAGTCATACAGTATAGACAGATGTACATATAGAGTAAAAACATATATAAATTACAAAAATCATAGATATCTTATCTACTTGTGTGTGCGTGTGTGTAAATGAACAGATTCTGAGAAGCCCACCCAGAACCAACAAAGATATGTTTTAAAAACTTATAAAGTTCATAGCGAAAATAAATCTAAGATGGAAAAGCTGTTCATTTCAATTCTGCTTAATAAGTATTACGTTTTAACCTAAGAATAATTCCAAAGAGAAATAGATTTTCTCTCCATATAAGTTACTCTGTTCTGCTTCAATGAAATACCTTCTTCTCCTAACAAACCTCCCCGCCCCCGCCACAACTAGAACTTCAAAACATTAAACATTACCTCCACTACACAATAATCTTTTATGCGAGGGGTAAAGCCCAAAATATGTGTTAAAATTACAAGTTTTATTGTTTTGCTTTTTCAAAAAGTTAAACAGGGAAATAATCCATCAGCTAATACTTAATATGGGTAAAGATCAGGGATCCCTGGGTGGCGCAGCGGTTTGGCGCCTGCCTTTGGCCCAGGGCGCGATCCTGGAGACCCGGGATCGAATCCCACGTCGGGCTCCCAGTGCATGGAGCCTGCTTCTCCCTCTGCCTGTGTCTCTGCCCCTCTCTCTCTCTGTGTGTGACTATCATAAATAAATAAAAATTTAAAAAAAAAAAATATGGGTAAAGATCATTCATCTTCATTGAGAATATATTCTGAAAAGGACTCAACCTCTGGGATGTTTTCTCCATCCCAAAAAGTAATTTACTGCAGCATTAAATCTATGACAGAGACATCTTGACTTTGAAATCCCACTGTGTAATTTTCAGCTGAAAGTAGGAGAGTTTCTCTAATTTCCAGAGTTAGTAACACTAAGAAACATACACACAAATCTGATTTTTGAAGAGATCCTTTGAAATTCCCAACCCTGCTTTTGATAATCAGATGATCATTTTTCAAGGGACTAGAAGTGGCTCCTCATTTGACATCATCTATAAATTTCCAAATGGAGGCTGAATGCTACAAATGGTTCTAGAAATTTACCATTGCTTTAGGAAGGGTTTGCAACTATAAAAGGAGGAAACAACCCTCCTCTAGTCTTTGATCTTTGTTCATCTTTTATTCCTCCTTCCCCAAAATAAGCAACTTCAAAAATACACAGTTCTAATGTATTACTTTTTTAATCTTACAAAACATTCTTAGCATCTTGGATGTTCCCTAACTTCTGCAGATGTATAATTATTTACTTAACCCATTACTCACTTCGAAAATACATCATTTTCACTTTTCTAATAATTGTATCATTTTCTAAAACAAGGAAAACAGCCTCGATTAACTGTTACAAAAATGACAGCAGCTCAAAATAGCTACAGACCCCATCTTTCATTTTCTTTTTCCTGATTGTTTTAGAGAATTACAATTTTATTCTTATTTTTCAAGTGTTTTTCTTTCAGACCAAGAGTAAAAAACAGATAGAGCAAATTCGTAGACCCCATACTCCCTCTGGTGGTCCTTCACTCTCATTAACTAGACAAATTCCGAAAGACTAGAAGTAAATACTAAATTACGCATAAAATGAACTTGCTCCAAAAAAGAAAAAAAGAAAAAAAAAAAAACGAAAAGAAAAAGAAAAAAATGAACTTGCTCCATTTAAGTATCACAATCTCACATGTTTAAATTTCAGCTGAGTACAGGCCAATTCTTTTTGTAACAAAGTGTGAGATACAAATTATTTCGAGTACTTGAATTTTAGTGTTTCAAATATTGCTAAAATATCCTTAATAACCTGTTATACAGATTAGTTACAAGGGTGCATAAGGCCCTACTCTAAATAATTCTAAGCTGTCTCTCTTGACAGAAGAGTCTTTTACCTGGTAAGTATCTTTTTTGCAAATTAAATCACACTTAAGTGGCTATTATTTTTAAATCAATAGTTATTTTCATACCAACAACCACTCAGTCTCCTATGTATATAAATTTAATTTTCTTTACACTTTGGGGATATATTATCAAAAGTTAAAAATGCACACAGACCCTTTCTACCTCCTTGGCAATCCTGGTGAGTGCTCTTGGCTGGGGCCTATCCCACACCTAAGGCAAGATGATGGTGGGGCTACATAGAAGAAAAAGTCACTGGAGACAAGTCTAGGCTCCAAATCAATATAAGTGGACAGTACATGATGGGGTACAAGGAGACAAAATGATCAGACATGACCAAGCAAAACTGGTCATCCTAGCCAACAACTGCCTAGCTTTGAGGAAATCTGAAACAAAGTACTACATCCTGTTGGCCAAAACTGGTATCTATCACTAAGGTGGCAATAATACAGAATTGGGCATAGCTTGCGGAAAATACCACAGAGAATGCACACCAGTTACCACCGATCCAGACGATTCTAATACCATTAGGAGCATGCCAAAAAAGACTGGTAAAAAGAAAATAATGTAAAATTTTTCTTTAATAAAACTGGCCAGAGATTGTTTGAAAAAAAAAATGCACTGTAGAAAATTCAGAAATATACAATAAAATGAAATCTAATTATTAATCAGCTGGTTAAAAAGCGCAAATAGTTTCGGGATGCCTGGCTGACTCTATCCATGGAGCATGCAACTCCTGATCTCCAGGTTGTGGGTTCGAGCCTCACACTGGGTGTACATGTTACTTAAAAAAAAAAAAAAAATCTTAAAAAACTTACAAATAATCTCAGAATTTTAAAAATGTCCATATTTAGTGGTTCAGTATCAAATAATTACAGGATTTGGTGTGCCAAAGATGTACAGTACAGATTTTTTTTCTTTAGGAACTGTGAAAAATTATTGCAAAGGCCTATACAGATATATTCTTAGGTATAACATGCATAATACTTCAAAGCTACATTCATGACTAAGAGTGTCACTTGATTTATCCTCAAATTAGTTATTTTAATATACGCCCTTGTTTTTTTGTGGCTTTATTCATTCAAAAATATTTCCTCACCCCCAAACTCAAAAGGAACCACACCTGAGGATAAATGACTTAAACACACTCACAATGTTTACTGTGTAGATGTGAGAATTCAACTTATACTTAATTTTGAAACTGAAATGTGGTTGATAATTTTATGATATGGTCTACCACAAGTTAAAGTGGACCAAAAAACCCTAGTAAAATATCCAAAAACTGAATTTGAAAATGAGTTTTCAATTAGAAGGCATTTTTATAAAGTTCCTAAAAGCTGCTTTTGTGTAAACAAAACTATGAAATACTAGTTTAATTTATCATATGTGGTATATTTAAGCATCACCATAGGACAAAGATTATAGTAATTATACACAGCAAATTACATACAGTAGTTAAAAATATATTCCTATACACTTTAAAGAACAATTATCTAAATCATCCAAAAGAATGAGGACCCTCAGACTTCTAAGATTCCTTACAACTATTTGTACAGAATAAAACCCACTCTACAGGACAAGTCACTGTGCAACCAATCTACCCTAACGATCAAAAAGACAACAGCAATGACTACTTCTACAGCTACAGAAAGAGGATGTTCTTTCTTCTCTAGACTGATTCTAAGCTAAGAAACATTTAGGAAATTAATCCAAAATATGTGTTCTTTCCCAATCCAAGAAAAAAACAGAAAATTGAAGATTTAATTAGCTGCCTACTCCAGTATTTTAAGTTTTTCATGTTGAACTGGTTAAAATTATGTTTTAAAAAAGAAGTTCAGGGGCGCCTGGGTGGCTCAACGGTTGACAGTCTGCCTTAGGCTCAGGTCGTGATTCCGGGAACAGGGATCCAGTCCCACATCAGGCTCCTGGGAGGAGCCTGCTTCTCCCTCTGCCTATGTCTCTGCTTCTCTCCTCTCTCTCTGTGTGTCTCTCATGAATAAATAAATAAATGATTCTTTAAAATAAATAAATAAATAAATAAATAAATAAATAAATAAATAAATAAATAAATAAAATAAAAAAGCAGTTCACCTAAAATTACCATAACTAAGAACATTAAAGATTCAGAAAAAAAAAATATTTGTTTTGTTAAATGCTGGGAAGACAAAGACCTCATACCATTTAAGCCTGTTGTTTGAAGACAGAAAACATTTTATAAAGACCATCTTTGATTTATTTTTTTTAAATCCCAGTCACAGCTAGCCTATTGGTTAAAGAGTTCAGCTTTAAATGGTGTTACTAATTACCTAGGTAAATAGTAAAATTACCATTCAATGAAATACTAATAAAGTAGCATAATTAACTCAAAATTATAACTTTGTTCTTAAGACATTACACTTCTGTTCAATATAAATCACCCCCAATAGTCACAAAAGACACATCAGAAAAAAAAATCACGCTAAATCAAAGTGTCACTCACAAATAAATCTAAATATGTATAAAGTGTATAAAGTGTAAAAAACTGCTGTATTTTTAATGTATTTTTTCTGTCGATACCCTATATTGGTCAGGGCCATAGCTGTAGATTAAGTGGAGGTCAGTTGGGAGAGAGATGAAGAGAAAATGGTAAGTGAAAGTATGACAAAGATTTCCCAAAAAGAACAAAAAATTTTTTCAAGTTCATCCTTGAATTTTGATTCAAATGCCAAGAGAAAAAGCTACTATAATCGTCTAAAGTAAAAACGATGGGGGGCGGGGGGGGGGGAAAGAGGCGTGGGCAGAATTCCATAGACCATTAAAAATACTTAACCGAAACATGTGCCTCAACTTTTCTCTCGTCCACAATCTCACAAAATGGGGAAACCACGAAAATAAACACATCTGTCTGCCCTTAGCGAGGCAAAGAAAGCTGCCGTTCAATGCTAAGCCTTATCCCACCGGAAAACAGACT